AAAATAATCACTTTGAAGGTCATGTCGAAGTTTGAAAGGACAAAAACTTTATTATACTATAATTGTTTTCTTTTAGTTTATAGTTTTTTCAGAAAAATTGGTAAGAATTTTGATGGCTTGTACAATGTAAAAGATTTATTTAGCGAATTGGGAATTGATTGTTTTTTTATTTGTCTAAAAATGTGGCAGGTTAATTTGTCCATTCAAAACCCGATTTCGATCGTTATTTTGAGCCCTGAGACTTGTATGATCCACTAGATACTCTCTTTTTCCCACTATGCTTGGGGCTGGTCAGCACCGATCGGAATGGGTCTAATGATAGGTTGAGAAAACAATGGACAAACAATATATAAGTCTTCCAACAATAAAACAAAACCTAACCTAACAATAGAGCTACTGTACTTAAGCAGAAATCAAAAGCAGGCTTCGATCTGTGCTTTATTACTGTGCTTGAATCTATTCTGGACACTTAAGAGTGAATGTCAGCATGCATCAAACAAATTCAAAAATTCGTGGCAAGTGTAAAAAATTAGATTTCGCTCAAACTTTCATATTTGGTACCTTATTATGTCTGATGAATCACTGTGGTGTTTTTATTAAAAAATATTTTTTCGTTTGCGAGATACGATTTTTTTTGTGAGAGAGGTCAAATATGCAAATTTTTGTTGTTTACAAAGAGTGATTTGCGTGACCTCGTATAGCGAAAAGACTTGACCTTTAGCGATTATACTTACACGTTGTRTTTATCATTATCTCAACCGTTCTCTGGCTGAAAATAAAGTCCTAAAAAGAAACTAGTGATTTTTGACAATTTTTTAAATTATGCACACTTTTGATAACGTAAAAAGTACTCCTATTTCACACGTATTTTTCGTTATGACCGATATGGAGAAAACCCACAGGATTTCGTCCAGAGTAAGACCTTAGATTGGTCATCAAACGTATGCAAGAAAATCGATGTGTAAATGTTTTGTTTCTTCAAGCGAAGTACTCAAAGTTAGGAAAAATTTGCATATTTGCGAACTTGAAATCTACAAGTTGATTTCATATGCGGCAGTAACGACTGAAAAACTCCGCTAAACTTTTTCAAGAACATAGTAATACTTGAAAGTAAAACCGGCAGAACATTTATCAAAACATTTTATACCCAATTTATGTATTTTTGATAATTTTAATGAGAACGAAATTACATAGTGTACAATCCTAAAATCACCAACACATACTTTGTTGACATGATTCTCGAAGACAAATCCCATTGAATATTTTTAAGTTATAGATGAAAATAATACATTCTAATAGTAACTCCACGCTTTAAAAGAGAGCTAAGAAATA